TGGCCCCATGCTGTTCGGCACGCTACCGTCGCTAGGAACAGGGTACTCACAAAGGTTGGGGATGACTCGTGGGTGCCGTTGGAGAGGTGGCTTGGGAGGAAGCCGCCGGTGGACATGCTGAGGGTGTTCGGTTGCATGGCAGTCGCCCACGTCCCCAAGACCTACCGCAGTAAGTTGGGGGCGAGTGCAATCTGGTGTGTGCATTTGGGGCTGGCTGCTGAGAGCAAGGGCTGGCTGCTGAGAGCAAGGGATGGCTGCTGTGGGAACCTTCCAAGGGTGTGTTGTTTGACAGCAGGGATGTGAAGTTTGTTGAGGGCATGATGTATGGGAGCTGGGAGAAACAGCCGGAGGCCAGGGTGTCCCAGCAAATGGAGCAGGTCACCATGCAGCTGGACCTGACTCCTAGTGTGTGGGAGGAGGGAGAGGAGGCAGCTGCAGAGGGTGGTGATGGAAAGAAGGTACAGGAGGCACCTGCTGGTGGAGAAAATGATGTGGAGGTTGGCGCTAGTGGAGCTGCTGGATCTGAGGGGAAAGAGCAGCAGCAGGGGAAAACTAAGAAGCCGAAGGGTGTCGTTATGAAGGGATGGGAGACACCCATCTCCAGGCCAGGACGTACCCGTATGGCTACTAAGAAGCTGACTGCAGGAGCTGATGTAGCAGAGCAGCAGCTTGGGACTGAGGAGGCATTGCTGATTCTACCGCATGGCTATGAGCCGGATGAGGAGGATGAGCCTGCGTACTGTTTTCTTGCCCCTGCACCAGAGGAACCAGCTAGCATGGAGGAGGCATTAGCTGGACCAGATAGGGACAAATGGCTAGCTTCTAGGGATGCTGAGTACCAGAGCCTGCTGGAGAATGGGACTTGGGAACTAGTGGTGCTGCCTGAGGGAAAGAAAGCGGTACAATGCAAATCGGTGCTAAGGATCAAGACTGACGACAAGGGGCAGGTCACCATCTACAAGAGTAGGTTGGTGGCTAAGGGGTTTATGCAGAAGGAGAAGCGGGACTTCAATGAGATCTTTGCTCCCACTGCCAAACCCTCTACCCTTCGTGTCTTGTTGGCAGCTGCAGCCGTTAGTGGGAAGTTCATTATCCAGATGGACATATCAACGGCATTTCTCAACGGGATTTTAGAGGAGGAGGTGTTCATGACGCAGCCACCTGGGTATGAGGATGGTACGGGCAGGGTGTGCAAGCTGAAAAAGTCCATCTACGGCTTGAAGCAGGCGCCACGCTGCTGGTACCAGAAGTTGGAAGCTGTTTTAGAGAAGATGGGATTCAAGACCAGCAGCTGTGATGAGAGCCTCTTTCTCAAGGGGGAGGGGGAGAAGCTGGTGTTGTTTCTGGTCTATGTGGACGACATTCTTCTCTTCAGCAGCAGCATGAAGGAGATCCATAAAGTGCAGCAGCAGCTGATGGAGAACTTCAAGTGCAAGAACCTTGGGGAGGTAAAATACTACCTCGGGATGCACGTGGAGAGGGATCTGGATCACACGTGGTTGAAGCTGCACCAGGAGAAGTTCATCAAGGAGCTTGGGGAGAAGTACGGAATTGAGAATGAGCGCAAGGTTGAAACTCCCCTGCCAGCAGAATTCAAGCTTGTGAAAGCTGCAGAGGATGAAGGGGTTGAAGCCGAGGAGCAGCAGCAATTTCAGTCCTTGGTGGGCAGCCTCTTGTATGCAGCAGTTCACACGAGGCCCGACATCTCTTTCTCGGTTGGGCAGCTGGCTAGGGTGGTGCAGAATCCATAAGAGGAGCAGGTGGATGCAGCTGAGCGTGTGGTGAAGTATCTGAACTCTCACCCAAGCATTGGAGTTCAATACTCCGCATCTGCACAGGTGAAGCAGAAAGGGGTTGAGGTGCTGAAAGAGGAGGGGGAGAGGCTTGGAGAAGGCAAGCTTTTTCTCACTTGCTTTACCGATGCTACGTGGGCCTCTGAGAAGGAGGATTTCTCATCTGTGGGAGGATACATCTGCGTAGTTGGGGGAGGACCGGTTAGTTGGAGGTCAAAGAAGCAGACGGAGACACCACTCTCTTCTGTGGAATCAGAGTACATGGCGATGTTCCATGGGGTGAAGGAGGTGATTTGGCTGAGGAGGCTGTTGGAGGAGATTGGCCAGGAGCAAAAGGTTGCTACGCCGCTGTTTTGTGATAGCAAGGGAGCTCTTGGGATGGCCAGGAACGCTGTGCTTCAGGGGCTCAATAAGCACATGCGTATCAAGTGGCACTAGCTGCGTAAGGAGGTGAAGAGGGGGACGGTGAATCCGATCTACATCAAGACTCAACAGCAGCCAGCAGACTTCCTCACCAAGAGGCTTGCGGATGAGCCTCATTGGCGTTGTGTGCGCATGAGTGGAATGAGCATGAACTAGTATGGAATGATGGGGATGTAGCCGGCAGGCTGAGGGGGAGTATGTTGGGTGCAAATTCACATTGCACGACATCCTGTCGCCTGTTTGTACGAGTATGCGTGTGCGAATGCATTTGCGTGTGAATGGTATGTTCGTGTGTTTGTTTGCTCTCGCAATTTTTGCTTGAAGCATTTGCAGGTACTCGCACAATGTGCGCTTCGGCATAACATTGTACGCGCTATGAACAGTACAAGCAGAAAGGACGAGCTCGCAAAGGAACCCAAGATGGAAGCTTTGCGGTTCGGCTTACTTGATTGCGCAGATTCAGTTCTATCCAACTCGAAATTGTACTGTTTTGTTTGGTTGACTATAGTGTAGCTGGGCAGGCACTATAGGGGTACAATTTAGGTGAAGGTTGGATGTCTTTTGTCTGTATCTGCATGCTGCAGGGCCAGGGGAAACCAGCGGAACCAGCATTTGGCTGGTTGGGCAAAGACAAAACAGGTTCTGTTTTTAGGACCTGAACCTGGTTGTTGTTTTTCCAGGTTGGAAAAACAGAACCAGAGGTTGTTCACCAACCTACCACCTACTATTTTGTCCAGCCAGGTTGGTTGTGTTGCTTGGAATTATTTGGGATCATCCCTGGTTGTTCCCAGGTTGATTCCCAAGGTCCTTGCTAGCTAGAGCTATTTATTCCTTCTCTGTTTGTACCTGAATATAGTGAAATTGATTCAAGCGAATTCCTTCCTTGCTGGAATTTCGTTTCTACGTGGTGCGACGGCGGAACGCTAGTACGCTAGCACTCCAACGCTAGGCTAACGCTGTCCGAGCCATAACTTTGTAATGGCAGAACTTTTCGCGAGGCAACTTGGCTTATTTTAAAGCTCTTAGAGTGAGCTTCGATATAGGAAATTCTCAGCTTAATCCGATTTACGGTCTGCACGATACGCTGCGCGACATTCAAGGTACTCTTGCTGTTTTGACTAAGTCCCTCTTGATCCCTCTCTCTACAAACTCGGACCCGAGGATAGGGGCTGGTCTTGTACCAGGCACCCAAGGACCCATGGAGGTGACCCCGAGGAGAGGTTTTAAGTGTGATAAAGTCTTAATAGCTTGAGTTTATTAGGCCCTTACACCAACAGGCGCACGACCTAGCATCGTACAGCAGCGCTGATGATCACAAGGCGGAAGTGCCTTGGTAAAGATATCAGCAGTGTTGGCCTCAGAGGCCACGTAAGCAAGGCGCGACTGACCACGCTGCTGCAGCTCACGAGCAAGGAAGTAGCGAAGAGAAATGTGCTTCGTTCTGTGCTCCAGTCTCTGCTCCTGACACAAGGCCAGCATGGCCTTGTTGTATACGTACAGAACTGGAGGAGAACGAGGCGGCTCTCCTAGGTCAGTCAGCAGGTAGGTGAGCCAGCGTAACTCCTGAGCAGCCATGGCCCCCGCGTAGATCTCAACCTCACAGCTGGAGCCGAGAACAGAAGACGAGCGGGTAGACCGCCACGAAATAGAGCCGGAACCAAGGCTGAAGGTGTAACCCTATGACGACCGCTGTGTAGCCTAGTCGTCAGCCCAAGAAGCGTCAGCGTGACCTGTGAGGACCACTGAACGCCGCCCTCCAAGCACGGGCCCCATGCCCGACATACTGCACAAGTAGCGCAACACCCTCTTCGCTACAGCCATGTGCTCTGGTCGGTGTCTCCCAGGAGCAACATAGCGTGCCAAGATGCTAAGAGGGTATGCAAGGTCAGGTCGTGTGCAGGTCATCAGGTACATGAGGCAGCCAACAAGCTTTGGGTACGGGCCACTCGACTCTACGGACTCATCCGAAGGCAGAGCTGAGAGAGAGTGGCAAGTAGACAGAGGAGTGGCCTGAGGCGAGGATTACGTGAAGTCGAAGCGCTGAAAGACCTGCTGCACCATGTGTGACTGAGTCAGGGTAATGGTGCGATGTGCTCTGTCCCGGGTGATCTGCAAGCCAAGGTAGCTGCGCAGTTCACCCAGGTCTGTGCACGTGTGTCTCTTCTGCAGCTCGGACTTCACGTGGGCGAGTCCAGCAGTGTCAGCAGTGGAGAAGACCAAGTAGCCCACGTACATGAGGATGTAGAACGGCGGCAAAGAGGTGTTGGTGCGCAGAAACAGCGACGGGTCGGCCGTAGAAGGAGCAAACCCAAGAGCCGCAAGTGTAGTCCTCAGTGTGTCGTGCCACTCACGGGGCGCCTGGCGGAGACCGTAGACTGGCCGCCGGAGGCTCCACTGGGTACCAGGAGGAAACGACCCAGTGAAGCCAGGTGGGCGGCGCAGCCAGATCTCCTAGTGCAGGCTGCCTTGCAGGAAAGCTGTGCTGAAGTCAAGAGAGTGTAGCTCGTAGTCGCGCTGAGCGGCTATGTGCAGCAGCACCCGAAGAGTGGTCATCTTCGGGGTGGGAGAGAAGGTCTGAAAGTAGTCAACTCCCTGCCACTGACTAAAGCCTCGAGCCACGTAACGCGCCTTGAAAACAGGCGGAGAACCCGGCGGCCGCTTCACCCTGAAGATCCACATGCCACTGACGATGTTCGCCCCAGGTGGGGGAACCTCGTCGACGTAGGTGCCTGTGGACTTCCAGGAAGCCATCTATGCGTCCATGGCTGACTGCCACTGTGAGGATTAGGGACCCTCGATCGCCTCAGCGTACGATCGAGGAGTCGGGATGTCTGGTGCATCCGGGTCTCCCTCTGGGGCAATCAGATTGGACACAAGATGAGGCAAAGCAGCAGCAAAACACTGGAACTCCTCCTGCCTGTCCTCAAGGACGTCCGTCCTAAAAGCACACTCACCCCCGACGGACGGAGGACAGAAAGACTCAGACTCAGCAACAAGACTAGCGGCGTAGTCTAGACGACAGCGAGCAGCAAAGTCGACAAGCTCAGCAACCAAGGCAGACGCAGCAGTGGAGTCAAAGGAAGGGTCAGTGACAATAGTAGCCAGGAGACGCGTGACAGTAGGATTGGCAGCACGAAGAGAGTCAGACTCCGGGTCAGCAAGAACAGGAAGAGAGGACTCTGGAAGAGACATCAACGGGACACGAAGAGGAGGAGTGGACGGACGCAGTGCCATCCGGTGTGTGCCTGGGACCGCAGGAGGACGCGGACGCGGAGCACGACTACTAGTGCGAACAGCACGAACAGGCGACGCAGGACGAGACGCAGGCTCACGACGCTCAGCAAGACCTCCAGTAGGACCAGTGTAGGGAGAAGGAGCAAGCAGGGGGGAGGCGGGCTGTAACTGTGACCGCGACTTGACAGGCTGTGGACACTCTAAGAGAGGAGCAGGACCAGTAGAGGGCGGGAGACCAAGAACCTGCTCAAGGAGCGGAAAGAAGTAAGGCCGCGGCCGCGCAGCGCCCCCAGAACCAGTAGGGACAGCACCAATACTCCGAGCGGCCGCACCAGCGCCAGCAACACCTCCAGCTCCAACAGCCCCAACTCCAGCACCCTCAGAAGCATCAGTGCATGCAGCACCTCCTGCGCCAACACCCCCAGCTGCTCCAGCTCCAGCAGCTCCAGCACCTCCTGCTCCAGCAGCTCCAGCACCAGCAGGACCGTCAGCTCCAGTACCACCAGCAGCTCCAGCAGTACCTCCACCAGGACCAACTCTAGCAGCCCCAGCAGCACCCCCAGTCCCAGCAGCTCCAGTACCGCCAGTACGAGTACCACCAGAACCAGCAGCAACAGTAGCACCTCCAGCTCCAGCAGCACGGCTCCAGCGCCGGGCAAACCACTCGCGCAGCTCCTGCGGAGAGGGTAGCTCCCGCCTCGACGAAGCACCGCCAGAGGCCACACGAGCAGACCCAGCACCCCCAGGCTCCGCACCCCCAGGCTCAGCACCCCCAGGCTCCGTACCCTCAGGCTCCGCACCCCCAGGCTCAGCACCTCCAGGCCCCGCACCCCGAGGCTCCGCACCCCCAGGCTCAGCACCACCAGGATCAGCACCCCCAGACTCAGCACCCCCAAGCTCAGCACCCCTAGAATCAGCACCCGCAGGCTCAGCACCCCTAGCAGCACCAGAGTCAACAGCTACCTTGACAGGCTTGACTGCGTCTACCTGGGACACACCTGACGGGGCAGGAACCTGAGGGGGGAGAGGGTCTACCGGGGGAAGACCTGGTCCAAGGAAGAGCGGCAGCGGGGGGAGGGGCGCACTTTGTGTAGGGGAAGAGACGGTATTAAGGCACTGACTCCTTAAAGGTGACGTCCTGGGAGGACAAAACACGGCGCGAGGTGGGGTGGTAAAACTGCCAACCAGGCGCGTCAGGGGGGAAGCCAAGGAAGACGAAGAAAACAGCACTGGGGGACAGCTTGTCCGCAGACAAGTCGCGGACAAACGCCCGAGATCCCCACACACGAAACGCAGACGCATCGCCAACCTTCCCCGTCCACCGCAAAGTGGGGGAGGTCTCTGGCAAGGAGACTCAGGGCTGAAGGTTGAGCTGATGCGCTGCGTACTTAACCGCAAACGGCCACAGAAAATGGGGAGCAGCCGCATGGATCATGGACGTACGAGCGACGTCCATGACCATGCCCATGCGGCCCTCAGCAATCCCATTTTGCTGTGGGGAGGCCGGAAGCGTGAAGGTCTGGCGGATGCCCTATGGATGAAAGAAGGCTCCCAGACGGGTAGAGGAAAACTCCCCGCCTCTGTCTGATTGCAGACGCAGAACAGGAAAGTCCGAGCCGAAACTCTCTCTGAGCTGGAGACGAGCTGCGCGGATCCAGTCGATCAACACCTCAGTGACGTCACCCTTGCTGCGCAAGGGGATCACCGTGGTGTAACGCGAGTAGTCGTCAACCACCAAAAGGAAGTAACGCTCATGACCCTGGCCACGGACGCGGGCGGGGCCCCACACGTCCATGTGAAGAGTCTGCAGCGGAGCCTCTGTCGGAGGAAACTCGGAGGAGTGAGGGGCGGCGCGCTGCCGCCCCTCGACGCAGAGAACGCAGGTAGGGGCAGGCCCCAAAGGGAGGGGAGGGAGAGACCGGGGGAGACCAGAGACAAGGTAACGGGAGGCCATGCCTCGGAGACGAGGCAGGGAGGGGTGACCAAGGCGGTGGTGCCAGAGGAGAGTCTGGTGGGACAGGAGACGACACGAGCAGGGAGCAGACTCAGGACCAGACCTGGACGCTGCAGCAAACACCTGACCTGACGCAGCTTCCTGACCAGACTCAGCAACCAGAGGAGACTCAGTAGTCAGTGTGTACAGGCTCGACCCCGGCTGACGGGTAAACGTGGCCAAGTGTCGGCCCGTCCGAGCACACGTACAGTGGGTCACCCGCTGAGTCGTAGGAGTGAACTGGTCAACCCCCCCATCCTGTAGATCAGCACCACTCACCAAGTTCGTAGAGAACGAGGGGAGGTAGAGACCTGACAGGGTGCCAGAGGGGGCCGCCGGACACGGTAAGACAGTGGAGAAGTGGGCAAGGAAAGGACCCCCAGAGGGGTCCGCCAGGGAGACCGCATCTGGCCGACGGCGTAAGCGTGGTGCGGTCTCAAAAGAAGGAGCGGGAAGCACCCGAGTCAAGGGTGAAGGTGTGCAAGGCCTGAGCCGACGTGGTACCTAAGAGAGCAGACTCACCAGCACCTGGGGCAGCAGAGGCACTAGCACCGAGAGCAGCAGCCTCACCAGGACCTGGAGCAGCAGCCTCAATGCCCGGGTCAAGCGGAACACACAGGTAACAGTCACCCTCATCACTAGTAGACACAACATACATGGCAGCCAGAATGGCATCATAATCTAGATCAAAGATAGCAACCCCCGACCTAAGCAGCTCGCCTCAGCGGGGGATCTCAGTGGCGTCAGGGAACTGGAGACGCCAAGCGTCCGTCAGGCGGCAGAAGCAGCGCTGGGTGGTGTGCGGGCCACCGCACAGCTCACCAGTGCGGTCGCCGGTACGGAGGACGTAGGCACAAGGACCAGCACCCCCACCCGCTGACGCGCAGCGTACTACTCACGAAGCTACTGGGGGGGCGGGGTCTCACGAGTGCGCTGCTGCTGCTGGCGCTGACCACCACCGAAGCCGCCCCACTGCGCAGAGCCACCCCGACCAGCTACACCTCTGCCACCGCCGCCTCCGCCACCGCCGCCACGGCCTCCTCCTCCGCTCCCACTGCCACCGCCGCCGCCGCCTCCGCCTCCACCGCCGCCACCGAAGCCCCCACCCCCGTCACCACTCCCACCGCCACCCCCACTCCCTCCGCCGCCTCTACCGCCACCTCCACCGCCCCCGCCAGCCCCTCCAGCGCCCTTGCCCCCCTTGCCCTTGCCGGTGCGGCGTCTCCCACTAGGGGCAGACGCAGCTCCGACCGACTCGGTGCCAACGAAGTCGACGGCAGCAGCAGAGGCAACAAAGGGCAAGAGGGGGGAGGGGAAGCACCCCTCAAAGAGGGGGGCACGAGGGTCACCACGAGAGGCTCCTATAGCGACTATACTCTTCTCAGCTGCCAGGAGGCGATCGTCGAGGAGGTCAACGGTGAGTGTGGTGGGGAAAACTGAGAGGAAGTGGTCCCTGACCGAGCAAAGGGAGTCAGGGAGCCGGGTGACTATGTAGTAGAGGGTGATGTACATGGGGGGGGGGGGGGGGTTCTTGGCGCAAAACTCAGCAGGAAGTGCAGCGCAGTAGCGGGTGTCACTAGTGCGAAGGTGCGTAATGAGGTCAGCAACTGTGGGAAAGGCGGCGAGGTCAGGAAACAGGTACGGCAGCATGAGGCGGCTAAGGGCAGCAGTGGCAGGGGAAGAGTAGCGTGCAACTACAGCATCGTACAAGGTCTTAGCACTCTTGTACTGACTAAAGTGCGCACGCTCAGTGGACGGTAAGTCTCTACGCACAGCAAGATGGGCAGCAGCATCGCGTGTGGCCCACTGTGAGCGAACAGTGTTGTCAGCATCGGCAGCAGGGGCAGTAGAGGCGCCAGACGTGAGATCGAACAGGGAGAGACCGTCCTTCCTATCGCATTGTAGGAAAAGGTGTAAATCATCGACCCAGACCTCAAAGTCAACAGCCCGACCCTTAGCATCAAAGACTAGAACGCTAAGGGTAGCCATGACAGCAGTGGCAGCAGGCTAGGGGCAGCAATAGCAGGCGTGGCTCGGCAGTGCTCTCACCAGGGCTGGTAGGTAGGGGCTGGCAAGCGGTGATGCAGGGCCGAGGCGCGTCGGCAGGGACAGAGCCGCGACCGCGGCGGCAGCTCCTGCTGTCAGTGGAGGCGGCAATCATGGCTGTCGGCTGGGACGGCTGCTGCTGGTGGCGGCCGCTGCTGCTGTCGGTGGCGTCTGCTGCCGTCGGCTGCCGCTGGCGGCGGCGGCGGCTGCTGCTGCTGGTGGCGGAGGAGCCGAGAAGGGGCCGGGAAGGGACCACACGAGGGGCCGCGAGGGGCCGCGAGGGGCCGGGAAGGGCGGCAACGGGGCCTCTAGGGGCGGCGACGGGGCCGCGAAGGGGCGGCGACGGGGCCGCGAAGGGCGGCAACGGGGCCAAGAAGGGGCGGCGACGGGGCCGCGAAGGAGCCGCGAGGGGCCTCGAAGGGCGGCGATGGGGCCGATAGGGGCGGCGACGGGGCTGCAAATGGCGGCGATGGGGCCGCTGAAAAACTTCACCGTCGAGAAGTTTAATGGTGAGGGCTATGATGATTGGGCCTGGAAAATGCAACTTTATTTCCGTCAGATCGGTTTGCTGAAACTAATGATTGGGGAGGAGCCTAGACCGAGTGACCCCGCCCTTCAGGAAGATTGGGACGAGCGCGCCTTGGCTGGCTACTACTTGATGTCGTAGCATGGTCACTGATTCGTCCGACAACAACCCAAAGGGCAACAGCGGTGCGGAGAAGAAGGAGCGCACCGCGGGCCAATTCTTCCATATGGGAGACAAGGGGGAGCAAGGAGACGCATCTGGTAAGGTTGGAGCAGAATTGCACCCCCTGGACTATTGGGTGTTGGACACAGGCGCTGCTTGGACAATGACGCCGCGCAAGGACCTGCTGGACGACGTACGCGCTGCACCGATTAATGAGGTGTGCTCTGCCTCTGGACACATGTTGAAGGTGGCTGGTGCGGGACGAGCTGCGTTTAAGGGAGCGGATGGCAAGCCGGTGGTGCTGCATGACGTTCTCCTCGTCCCCGACCTGAAGGCCAACCTCATCTCCCTCTGTAAGCTTGGCAAGGCTGGGGTGAACACCAACACGGATGGGGCTCGCACTTATAAGGGGAAGCTGGGCAATCGGGTGCTTTGGGATCTGCACGAGAGCAAGGACGTGTACAGATCTATGTGGCAGCTGCCGGCGCTGGCGTGGCACGGTGGGGGGCAGGCTGGAGAGGGGTCTGCATCCCAGGGGGAGTGCAACGCCGTTGGAGGGGTTGGTGTGAAAGTGTCGGCCAGATCTGGGGAGACGGATTGGGCAACTGCACACCGACGCTTGGGGCATGTGGCAATGCCTTTGCTGAAGCAGCTGGAGAAGGATGGAGCCGTTAAGGGCTTGAAGCTGAACGGACAACCACCCGATGATAACTGTGAAATTTGCCTCCTTTCAAAGTTCACCCGTTTCCCCTTCCATAGTGTGGCTGGCAGGAGCAAAAAGCCGTTGGAGCTGGTCCACATGGACTTGGTGGGGCCGCTGCCGGTGCAAGGGCACAAGGGGGAGCGGTACTTCCTAACCATAGTGGATGACTGGAGCAGGCTAATGTGGGCGTATCCGCTGAAGCAGAAAGATCACGCCGCCTCCACGATTCGGGACGATTGGCTGCCGTTCGTGGAGAAGCAAGCGGAGTGTGTGGTGAAGCGGATTAGGACAGATCGGGGTGGTGAGTTCCTTGGAGCTGAGATGACGGCCTGGCTCAAGAAGCAGGGCATCCAGAGGGAGCTGACCACGGCTTACACCCCACAGTCTAACGGTGTAGCAGAACGGGCGAACCGGACAATTCTGGAGACAGCTAGGGCGCTGCTCATAGAATCTGGGCTGGGCAACTTGATGTGGCCCCATGCTGTTCGACACGCTACCGTCGCTAGGAACAGGGTACTCACAAAGGTTGGGGATGACTTGTGGGTGCCGTTTGAGAGGTGGCTTGGGAGGAAGCCGCCGGTGGACATGCTGAGGGTGTTCGGTTGCATGGCAGTCGCCCACGTCCCCAAGACCTACCGCAGTAAGTTGGGGGCGAGTGCAATCTGGTGTGTGCATTTGGGGCTGGCTGCTGAGAGCAAGGGATGGCTGCTGTGGGAACCTTCCAAGGGTGTGTTGTTTGACAGCAAGGATGTGAAGTTTGTTGAGGGCATGATGTATGGGAGCTGGGAGAAACAGCCGGAGGCCAGGGTGTCCCAGCAAATGGAGCAGATCACCATGCAGCTGGACCTGACTCCTAGTGTGTGGGAGGAGGGAGAGGAGGCAGCTGCAGAGGGTGGTGATGGAAAGAAGGTACAGGAGGCACCTGCTGGTGGAGAAAATGATGTGGAGACTGGCACTAGTGGAGCTGCTGGATCTGAGGGGAAAGAGCAGCAGCAAGGGAAAACTAAGAAGCCGAAGGGTGTCGTTATGAAGGGATGGGAGACACCCGTCTCCAGGCCAGGACGTACCCGTATGGCTACTAAGAAGCTGACTGCAGGAGCTGATGTAGCAGAGCAACAGCTTGGGACCGAGGAGGCATTGCTGATTCTACCGCATGGCTATGACCCGGATGAGGAGGATGAGCCTGCGTACTGTTTTCTTGCCCCTGCACCAGAGGAACCAGCTGGCATGGAGGAGGCATTAGCTGGACCAGATAGGGACAAATGGCTAGCTTCTAGGGATGATGCAGCCGTTAGTGGGAAGTTCATTATTCAGATGGACATATCAACGGCATTTCTCAACGGGATTTTAGAGGAGGAGGTGTTCATGACGCAGCCACCTGGGTATGGGGATGGTACGGGCAGGGTGTGCAAGCTGAAAAAGTCCATCTACGGCTTGAAGCAGGCGCCACGCTGCTGGTACCAGAAGTTGGCAGCTGTTTTAGAGGAGATGGGATTCAGGACCAGCAGCTGTGATGAGAGCCTCTTTCTCAAGGGGGAGGGGGAGAAGCTGGTGCTGTTTCTGGTCTATGTGGATGACATTCTTCTCTTTAGCAGCAGCATGAAGGAGATCCAGAAGGTGCAGCAGCAGCTGATGGAGAACTTCAAGTGCAAGAACCTTGGAGAGGTAAAGTACTACCTCGGGATGCACGTGGAGAGGGATCTGGATCACTGGTGGTTGAAGGTGCACCAGGAGAAGTTCATCAAGGAGCTTGGGGAGAAGTACGGAATTGAGAATGAGCGCAAGGTTGCAACTCCCCTGCCAGCAGAATTCAAGCTTGTGAAAGCTGCACAGGATGAAGGGGTTGAAGCCGAGGAGCAGCAGCAATTTCAGTCCTTAGTGGGCAGCCTCTTGTATGCAGCAGTTCACACGAGGCCTGACATCTCTTTCTCGGTTGGGCAGCTGGCTAGGGTGGTGCACAATGCATCAGAGGGGCAGGTGGATGCAGCTGAGCGTGTGGTGAAGTATCTGAACTCTCACCCAAGCATTGGAGTTCAATACTCCGCATCTGCACAGGTGAAGCAGAAAGGGGTTTCTTGGAGAAGGGGGAGAGGCTTGGAGAAGGCAAGCTCTTTTTCACTTGCTTTACCGATGCTACGTGGGCCTCTGAGAAGGAGGATTCCTCATCAGTGGGAGGATAGATCTGCGTAGTTGGGGGAGGACCGGTTAGTTGGAGGTCAAAGAAGCAGACGGAGACAGCACTCTCTTCTGTGGAATCAGAGTACATGGCGATGTTCCATGGGGTGAAGGAGGTGATTTGGCTGAGGAGGCTGTTAGAGGAGATTGGCCAGGAGCAAAAGGTTGCTACGCCGCTGTTTTGTGATAGCAAGGAAGCTCTTGGGATGGCCAGGAACGCTGTGCTTCATGGGCTCAATAAGCACATGCGTATCAAGTGGCACTGGCTGCGTAAGGAGGTGAAGAGGGGGACGGTGAATCCGATCTACATCAAGACTCACCAGCAGCCAGCAGACTTCCTCACCAAGAGGCTTGCGGATGAGCCTCATTGGCGTTGTGTGCGCATGAGTAGAATGAGCATAAACTAGTATGGAATGACGGGGATGCAGCCGGCAGGCTGAGGGGGAGTGTGTTGGGTGCAAATTCACATTGCACGACATCCTGCCCTCTGTTTGTACGAGTATGCGTGTGCGAATGCATTTGCGTGTGAATGGTATGTTCATGTGTTGGTTTGCTTTCGCAATTTTAGCTTGAAGCATTTGCAGGTACTCGCACAATGTGCGCCTCGGCATAACATTGTACGCGCTATGAACAGTACAAGCAGAAAGGACGAGCTTGCAAAGGAACCCAAGATGGAAGCTTTGCGGTTCGGCTTACTTGATTGCGCAGATTCAGTTCTATCCAACTCGAAATTGTATTGTTTTGTTTGGTTGACTATAGTGTAGCAGGGCAGGCACTATAGGGGTACAATTTAGGTGAAGGTTGGATGTTGTTTGTCTGTATCTGCATGCTACAGGGCCAGGGGAAACCAGCGGAACCACCATTTGGCTGGTTGGGCAAAGACAAAACAGGTTCTGTTTTTAGGACCTGAACCTGGTTGTTGTTTTCCCAGGTTGGAAAAACAGAACCAGAGGTTGTTCACCAACCTACCACCTGCTATTTTGTCCAGCCACGTTGGTTCTGTTGCTTAGAATTATTTGGGATCATCCCTGGTTGTTCCCAGGTTGATTCCCAAGGTCCTTGCTAGCTAGAGCTATTTATTCCTTCTCTGTTTGTACTTGGATATAGTGAAATTGATTCAAGCGAATTCCTCCCTTCCTGGAATTTCGTTTCTACGCGGTGCGACGGCGGAATGCTACCCGAGTAAACGCTAGTACGCTAGCACTCCAACGCTAGGCTAACGCTGTCCGAGCCACAACTTCGTAATGGCAGAACTTTTCGCGAGGCAACTTGGCTTATTTTCAAGCTCTTAGAGTGAGCTTCGATATAGTAAATTCTCAGCTTAATCCGATCTACGGTCTGCAGGATACGCTGCGCGACGTTCAAGGTACTCTTGCT